TTTTATCAGTCAAGCGATAATTTGAAATAACAAAATATTAGATTTATCAGCCTCTCTTTAAAATTCTTGAAAAAAAATAAATATTAAAAATAAAAATATGTGAAAACAGAAAATATTCACTATCCATTGACAAAGCTGCCAGTATATTATTTTTACCTGTTCTGTTCACCCAAATGAACAGTTATCAGCAAATGTGATCAGTTCTAAAATAACCAAATATCAGCTGATTTATTGATTTATTGAAAACAGAAAACATGCATTATCTATCAACAAAGATGCAAGATATCAACCATTGTGATCACCTCTAAAACAACCAAATGTCAACTAATTTATTGGATTATCACAACTAAAAAAAATTTAAAAATAATTTGAAAACAGACAACATTCACTACCCACTGCCAAAACTGCCGGTAGATTTAAAAAACGGACAAATGGCTGGAAAAACCTCTTTTGTATAGCCAACTGTGCAGTTATTGGCCACTACGATCATCTCTAAAATAACCAAATATCAGCCAATCCATTGGTTTATCAAGTCTAAAAAAAAAAGGAAACAAATTATTCTAAAAATTATTTGAAAACAGACAGGCATGCACTATCCATTGACAAAGCTACCTATAAATTTAAAAACTGACAAAATGCAGGAAAAATCCCTCTATTCAGCCAAATTTTCTCATTGCATTTCACATTTATCAGCCATTGCGACCATCTCAAGATGACTGAATATTGCATATATATCAAGTCTATCACTGCACAAGGTACATCTTAGTTCACGCCTTCATCTGCATCCTGTGTACTACACATAAATGAACACGAGCAGCTCGGTGTGAATCTCTCTCGTACACACACCTCTACAGCAGATGTCATTGATTAAAGCTGATAGGCAGGCCCATTAGCGCTTTGATATTATATATCTGTCAGCGGTGACACAACTGAACGCACGCTTGCAGAATGATCATATTTAAAACGGTTCCGGTGAATACTTAGCAGAAAGATTAGACCGGGCCTCATCGAGACACATGCGTTCATTCATTTGCGCTCCTTCACTCCCTCACTCTTTCTTTTTCTCATCCTCACCCCCCCTCATCTCCTCAATCCCACACACCCCCCAGAGTTCCTAATGGTCTTTAGATCAGAGGGAAGTGTATGAATTACAGACTACAGAAAAAGACAGGGCTCAGCTAGACCGCTATGAATGAAAAATTACCCCTTTGTTCCCTCGCATCAATTGCATGCCTAATGAAATCAAAATCAGATTGCATAATCAAGTGTACGTCCTCCACTCGGCGGAGGCCCACTGCGAATCGTAACCTTTTCCCTCTCGAGTGGAAATTAACACAATTTTCCTCTAATACGGCGCAGAGTAGAAAAGGGAAACGGGGAAAGCGGCCCGTGTCAGATCGGGACCCGAGTGTTCCGGCGTCAATTTGCGCTAAACCGAAGGTCAAATGGCGTATCTGAAAAATAACACCAATAAAAAGCCATCTCAGAACTGCAAATGTGGTATAAAACATGTAAAAACATAACATAAACGCCTTGTGTATAGACACTCCTATAAAAATAGTTCAAAACGTCAAAACTGGTTTGGCTTCAATGATTGAAATCAACATGAAATCCCATCCACAACCCATTTTACTTCCTAAATGTGATGTATTTCCAAGCTAAACAGACTGAAAAAGGAGAAGGCACTTAATTTTATGTCAGGAATTGACTAGATCATGAAAAGTTGACAGTGTTATTATAATAGTTATATATAGTTACTGACAAAAATATTGGTTGATATTAGTTGTTTTTTTGTTCTGTAACTCGTAATTTCAAATTTTTAGTTTTAATATTAGATTATTGGATTAGTCGATAACATAAATGTAATATTACATCCATAGGTGGATCTGAATTAAGTTGCATACTAGTGAGAATGTGTAACTTGTGAAAATACACTACGTGTAATATGTAAAATTAATAACAGTTTCTAAAGCATTATGAATTCATTAAACAATAATAGATATTTTAAGTAGATAAAGTGAAATTTAAAATGAAATTTAAAGTTTCATACATTTAAAAAAAAATTGTTTACAGTTTTTCATTTTTCACATTTTTGTTACTAACTAAAATTGTATTTTGATCAACTAAATTTAAAATAATTTTGGAGTAAAATTAATAATAATTTTGATTAAATTTAAAAGATATCAAAAGAAAAAAATATTTAAAAATAAGTAATTACATCCGTAAGTAATTAGATTCATGTATATGAAGATTATGAAGACAAATATTGAAAGTTTGATACATTTAAATGTTTTAACATTTTCAAAAAATTGTTTTTTTTTTTGTTTACAGTTTGTCATTTTTCACATTTTTGTTACTAACTAAAATTGTATTTTGATCAACTAAATTTAAAATTATTTTGGAGTAAAATTCATAATAATATTGATTAAATTTAAAAGACATTAAAAAAAGAAAAAAAAAATGTAAAAATTTGTAATTACATCAGTAAGTAATTAGATTTATGTATAGGAAGACAAATATTTAAAGTTTGATACATTTAAATGTTTCAACATTTTTTTTTTTAATTTAAAAAAAAAATTTTTTTTGTTTTTTTTCACAGTTTTGTCACTAACTAAAAAATGTTTTTGATCTAAATTAAAAAATAATTTTAGAGTAAAAAGAATAATAATATTGAGTAAACTTTAAAGACATCAAAATAATAAAATACGTAAAAAATTATTAAATCAGTAATTAATTAGATTTTTATATAGGAAGATTATGAAGACAAATATTTAAAGTTTGATACATTTAAATGTTTTAACATTTTTAAAAAATTGTTATTTGTTTACAGTTTGTAATTTTTTCACAGTTTTGTTACTAACTAAAATTGTATTTTTATCAACTAAATTAAAAATAATGTTGGAGAAAAATGAATAATAATATTTACATATAGCAAGATTATGAAGACAATTATTTGGACTTTTTATTTTGAAAAATAAAAAATTTTGAGAAAAATTTATAATAATATTTACATATAGCAATATTATGAAGACAATTATTTGGACTACTGTGCACAATAAAACCAGAAATATGCTTTGAGAAAAAAATCAAATATAAAAATATTACATTTATTTTTCGTGTTGGTTTTCTGTGATACATCACATCCATATGTGCAACTAGGCTTTTAACCTCAATACAAATGTAACCAGTCTTAGCTAATGCTCTTATTCGTGTGTATCTGCTGCCTGAGGCCACGTTTGAGCTCTTTACCCAGAAATCTCTATTTTCTGCAGCTTGAATAAAACAGGTCCAGATGTTGCGACTATTTCAGGTCCGCATGCCCCAAAATTCTCCTCCTTTCAACCTTACGTTCACCCTCTCCTCTGCAGTCGACTGAAGGTTAATTAGTTGCCAACCTGAAAGCATTATCAACTTTTGTGGTTCTCCGAGCAACCCGATTCATGCGGCCCAGCAACACTGACAAATGCTCCTTATGTCTCTGTGACTAATAAACCCTCGTCCCTATTCAACACAAGACTGGACACCAGCCAGAAAACTGCAATTCCCAGAAGCCCTTGCTGACCTGTCTTTAATGGTACAAAAGCAATTAGCCCCAGCTAAGTGATACTGAGGTCCTGGCCGGTTATGTTTCCACAGCGGTCATGCCAGCTTGCAGAGCCCCTGGAGAAAGTTGCTCCTGTTTTTTTATTAATTACACTTGATCTCAGCTCTCTAAATCCAATTATACCTTCCCAAACTCCCTCTCAGTACAGAGAACCTGTAAATCAGAACCGAGTAAATCTGGTTCTTGCAGGCCAAAAATAAAGCAAATTCAGCCAAAAATGAAAATCAGCAGTGCAAACAACCTAACATACGTTTTCTGAATGGATATCAGTGACAGTTTACTCAAATAGTTCCTGATTTTTTAAATATTTATAAGAACTATGACATGTTTTAATGAATCAATTTAACAGGAATTTGAAATTTGGTAACACTTTACTTAAAGCCTTTATGTATAATGCATAATAAAGGGTTATTATAGGTTATAATGCATTATAATTATTCATAATGTGTATTGTAAGACATGATACTTTGTCATAAATAATTATAACCAAATTTAAAATAATTATAGTGTAACAATGAACTGATAAGTGTTATAATGTATTCATTGCGTTTACAATTATTCATGAGATTGTTCAGTGCATTAAAAGGCATAATTAATGCATTAAAACTATTTTTATAATGCATTATACATAAAGGCTTTAAGTAAAGAGAAATTTTAGTTTAAATAAAAACAAACTGATTTGTGGCTTGTTAAGTAAATAATTATAATTATAAATAATTATAATGTTATAATGTTTTTGACTTAAAATACTGTAGCAAATTTTGAAACAAATGCATTATAAATGCAATAAAAATGTACTTTTTAATACTCATTTGGTTACTGTGAACAATATATTATTACACATTAAAAATTGTCTTAGCAATTTTCCATGAGAATTTTTATGAAGAATGCATGTAAATAAAAAATAAAATAAAATAAAATAAATTTGTCATAAAAATAATTTAGCTGTTGTATTATTTAGTATATCTAGTAGGTTTTTGGTATTTAAGTTTTTTCTAGTATTTAAATATATTAACAAATTTTCTAGTATGCAATCATATTCTAGTACTTCACTTTTTTGTGAACAATTCATTGTCATAGTGTGAACAATTTTTATTGTACATTACTTTAAAAAAAATTGTATGCACAATTTTCCATGAAAACGTAACGTAATAACTTGCTTCGCCTCTGAAACAACTTCCCATTTCGGCTTATATCACCAATTCCTCCAGCTGACTCATATAGAAACACTTCTGCTGCATTTTTTGTTGAGTATTCTTGCAAATGTCACATTAAAAAAAGAAAATTGGTTTTGAACACCATTTCATGTCAAATTTAATGCTGCTACAATCTGCACACAGAATATCTTCTCAGAATATCTTTAAGGCATAACACCACTGACGGGGTTCATACTCACTTGTGGCCCCGATGCCGAGTTGTAAAGTGCTGCGGTCTTTGGTCAATCCGTTGGTTTTGGGGCTGGCTGTAGGGGCGACCGTCGCCACCGCTCTGGGCGGCCTCTTCCCAGGCACCTTCACCGTCGTCCGCAGCAAATCGATTTCTTTACCGTGGACATTCTGCATGTAGTCCTGAAAAATTAAATACAACAGTGTGCAGTTTTAGATCTAGGCCGGGAAAAATGTCAAATGTAAACACAAGTTTGACACACTTTGAACGAGTATGAGGCTGTAAAAGGCAGAATCCATTCAATCAGTTTCAAAATTAAACATTTCAAGTTCAGATTCAATTAAACAATCAGTAAAAACAAGACTATTTTAGTACACCATTTCAGCCTCATTTTTGGACGAATGCACGTTACACTGAAAACAACTGGTGTACAAACAATTTTACTCAGAAATTGTTAGTACATTTCACAAAGAAATTGCAAGTAATGCATTGAATTAAGCATTAAATGTAGAAAAAAAATGAAATGTTCTTGTAAAAAGTACTCCAATACTTGCAAAATAATTTTTACAGTGTACCTGAACCAACAATTGTCATAAAATCATTTGGTGCAGTATTGTTTAGTTACCAACTCTAGTAATTAAGGTTTTGGGTATTTAAGTCAATTCTAAAATGCAAGTATTGAAATTCAAGATTTTAAGTATGTTCTAATATTTCTAGCTATACATATACAAAAGACATATTTTCAATATTTTGAAAATGAATCTACACTTAACAGTAGACTTTAAAAAATATTTTTTTTTCTTGTATGTTTTACAAGAAAATTTTATTTGACTATTTTCTAAAATACTTTCTAACTCAACATTGTCAATATGTTACTAAATGTGCCACATTTTTGTAATTATTTGTGAAATCTACTAGCAATTTCTAAGAGAAAATTGTTTCTAAATCAACTTTTCCAGCGTATAACTGTCTGCACTTTTATCACTCACTGCCTCATTTTCATTTGCCTCAAATTCAACATGCCACCAACTTTGACTAAAGTTTATGCGAACAAACAGCGCACAGGTGCAGCACATCTATAACCTACCAAAGAAACTTTTTACAGGTCTTGTAAAACAAACACAGCAGCTTTGATCAATCAAAGCAGCACCAGGCCCACGCAATCTAGTATTTCACCTGTTTCCATGCTGCCGCAGATTAGCAGAATTAGCATTAATGACCGCGAGCAGACTCATTCCCATTTAAATCGGGCTATTCCATTTTCATGGGAGTGTGCGAAGCGCAAATGGGTTAAGCCAAGGTGCAAGATTGTGGGATAGCTCGGCTGGCTGCGGCGCAAAATTAAACCGTCGTTTCCGTCTCTCTCTCTCCCCGTCTTTCTCTTTGAGCTAAACGAGTGGTCCACAGGTGTCCAAACCCAAACGTCTCTAACGATTACGACGCCCGTGGCATCGCGTGCCTATTACACACATCGCTGGCATGAGATGTGCATTATATCTCTAATAAACACGCGGTTGATGTGAGAGACGTGAGTTTGGCCAAGATATTAATTTCGGTCATAGTCCACGGAGGCCGCTAAACGTGTCTCGTGTAACGCATCTCGCACGGTCAAGGTATGCTGCTTCTCCAGTGGATCTTAATTAGGAGGCCCTTATTAATTACTAACCTGTGTTAAAAGCGTCGGAGAAACACAAGAACAAAGATAGGCGTGAGTGCGACCTATGCAAATGAGGGGAGCGGTGGAGAAGGGACGTGTGAGAAAGCTGGAGAAGCAGAGAGGGGATTTTCAGAGGTATTAAGAACACGCGGGGGTCCTGACAGAGATGAATGTTCCGCGCAGAACGGACTGTGGAGTTCCCGCGGGGAGTGCCGTAAGAAACGTGCGCTGCTGTAGCAACCGGAGAGCAGCTGACCTGTCCGGCTCTCGTCTGTGTTTATTGGAAACCTACAAAATACCTCAGAAATAGCAATAGAAATAGAAATTCGCTCACGCTGAATCTGAACTATAATTCAAATGAAATTTCATTAAATCATGCTAGAGAATCTATCCCGCCCAAACGTTCTGCCACGTCAATGTCTTAATCAATTTCATGGTGTTTTTAACTGGAATGTGAGGTCTAATTTGTGAACAATTCGCTTGTTATGCAAAAGTGTTCAAACGAATCAAAGTGTTTGTTGATAACTTGACCGCAAAGCAAATCAGATGTTAAAAAAACGTTAGAGGAACATTCTCCAAAACTAAAGGCAACATTCTGTTTACATGAAATAATGAGAGAACCTTAGGATGTTCTTTTTTTTAAATATTTTTACAAAATCCAAAACAAAAAATAGGCCTAACCTCATCAAAAACAGAGAGAGAGAAAAAAAAATCATGAAAACAAAGATTAAGAAAACCAAGAAAAATCATATCTTCATATATCAACAATCTGTGAAGTATATAAAATGAAAAGCAAAAAAAGTAGGATGTCCATTTTAGAAAATTCTTATGATCTGGAATCCATAAATTATTATTAATGAACTATAATAATTCTTAATGAATTATATTAAGAATTTGGTTCAACTGGAAAGTAACACATTGAATTAAGAGTTAAATTTAGAAAAACTGAAATAGTATTTTTTTGTAAAAAGTTCTACAATAATTGAAAAATCTTTTTTTTTTTTATTCTACCTGATCCAACAAATGTCATAAAAACTGTCATTTGGTTCAAGAATGATTTAGTTACCAACTCTAATAATTAAGGTTTTGGGTATTTAAGTATTTTATAGTATTTAATTATATTCTAATATGTAAGTATTTAAGTATATTCTAATATTTTCTAGAATTGACATTTTTTGTGAACCTAAGACATATTTTGAATATTTTGAAAATGAATCAACATCTAACAGTAGACTGTAAAAATGATTTTTGAAGTTGTAAATACAGCAAAGATGATTGGATTACATTTGACAAGAAAAGACTGTTTCAGTCTTTGTGCTTTAAAAATTCAAGTTTCATTCAATGCATTATTTGCCAATTCTTAATAATTATTTGTGAAATTTACTAGCATTTTCTGAGTGAAAAGGTTGGTGAATAGGTAAACGTGTGACACGGAATGCACGAGTTTACACCAAACACAAATCAGTGAATCATTTATTTGAACCAGTTTACTGAATCTGAACTGAATCATCAGAATAAACCAATTCAGCAAAATGAATCAGACATCTGATCTCTAACAGCAGAGGAGACGGCATACTCACATGTAAACTGGGGTGGTACGTGAGCAGACCATTGTCACACAAAGTGACGTATTTCTTCTTCCACTCCTTATTAAGTGACTTCCCACTTCTTTTTAATAAAATCCCCTGTACAAGACAAAAACAATCAGTTACGAGGAGATTTCAAATCAGAAAACATTCACAACACTCTGAATAATAACCTGCTGGTTCATTTTAATAACTCATTTTCAGGATTGGTATAAAGAAGGATCAGATGTCGAGACACTGTCATAAAGTAAAGCAGAAGTTTCCCATGCAGCACTGTGAAGCCTCATGTACTCATTCACACCGAGTCACAGACACTCATTTGCATACATTTAAGGCCTGTTTACACAGTGTAGATTTTCACAGTCAATTCCCATACTGTTAAAACAAAACAATGCATCCCTATAGAACTCATCACACTGAACATTTGCCGTCAAACTAATGCTTTGTTTTATTTTAGTATGTTTCGCTCGCGTTTGTTCATGCAAATTTTTGCCACTAATTTTCTTCAGTGATCGGTTCAGTGATCTAGTCATTCTTGGTGTGAACAGTACTTTACATTTATTGATTTAGTAAACGATTCATCCAAAATGACAAATTAGAAATAATACAACAAAAAGAATAACTGCATAGCAGCCAGAAAAACATTACATTTTCAAGTAACCTGCCAAAAAACCTCACACTTTAGTCACTCCTAGTTTTGAAAAACACATTTTAAAGTAATTTCCTTCAGCATATTTTTGCCATAAGCTGCCGAGAAATATTATTTCCTTATATAAAATGTGTTATTAAAATTATATACAGGTATATATACCTTTTTTTCTCCATGTAACCTCTCCACAAAACTTTTCACTTTTCATTCCTAGTTTTGAAAACATACATAATATAAAAATACGTGTGTGTGTGTGTGTATGTATACAGTAGAAGTCAAAAGTTTACATACACCTTGCAGAATCTGCAAAATGTTAATTATTTTACCATAATAAGAGGGATCATACAAAATGCATGCTATTGTTTATTTGGTAATGACCTGAATAAGATATTTCACATAAAAGATGTTTACATATAGTCCACAAGAGAAAAGAATAGTTGAATTTATAAACCCCGTTCAAAAGTTTACATCCCCTTGATTCTTAATACTGTGTTGTTACATGAATGATCCACAGCTGTGTTTTTTTTTGTTTAGTGATAGTTGTTCATGAGTCCCTTGTTTGTCCTGAACAGTTAAACTGCCTGCCGTTCTTCAGAAAAATCCTTCAGGTCCCACTAATTCTTTTGGTTTTCAAGCATTTTTGTGTATTTGATCCCTTTCCAACAATGACTGTATGGTTTTGAGATCCATCTTTTCACACTGAGGACAACTGAGGGACTCATATGCAACTATTGCAGAAGGTTCAAACGCTCACTGATGCTCCAGAAGGAAAAACCATGCATTAAGAGCCAGGGGGTGAAAACTTTTTGAATTTGAAGATCAGGGTAAATTTAACTTATTTTGTCTTCTGGGAAACATGTAAATATCTTCTGTAGCCTCTGAAGGGCTGTACTAAAAAAAA